AAACTGTGAATATAATTTCTTTGGGACTTGTACATGAGAAAAGAAATATACAAAACAGTATATTGAACTGTTAAGATGGAAGGAAGATTTTTATTTGTGGCTTTGTAAAAAGAGAAACAACAGTACTGGGCATATGAAAAAGATAATACCAAGGTTCCTAAATGGAGAAAGAATTTAAGAAGGGCTGAATTTAAAGACCCTTGTAGCTCAATTAATCTAAAGAGGAAAAGGACATTTTTCCTTCTGGGTTAGAAAAAGGAGGGCCAGGGATTTAGCTCAGTTGTTTCACCACCTGCTGTGCAAGCTCAAGGACCCGAGTTCGATCCCTGGTACCCCGGTACCAAAAAAAAAAAAATGGAGATAGGAAAATATATGAACACATTTGGAGTGGATACAAGGGAGATTTGAAAGTTAAGGATTAATTATATGATTCTGCATGTCACAGTGATCATCATTGTCATTTAAACTATTCACATTTATTTGACCAAGATTTGTTATGAATTAAGCATATATAACATGTTACATATTACAAGGGGTTGGGGGAGTTTGGGGGAGTGGTCTTAGCAGACAGTACTTGCAAGCCTGTAGAAGATGTTTTCAGATCCATAGAGTTATGTAAAAATACCAGATTTGGGGGCTCTATATTTTGATTGTTTCAAACTACATTATATAATGAAAAAAAGAACATAAGCAGTTTATGATAACCAAGTAAATGTTATTAAATGATGTATAATGATGTATGTTATAGCAAATATATTTTTATTATTTTTATTTTTAAAATAATGCACTAACAAAACTTGATAGATTTAGCCCATTATCAACTCTTGATCCCCATGAAACCATAACAAGGTAAGTCATTATCATGCCCACTTATAGAAAGTGGTGGTTTATGTAAGCACAAAATTCAAAGCAAATAAACTACATTTTTTATCCTAATGATGGGCCTGTTAAGTAATTGTATTTTATTGTATTATATTATATTGTAATATATTGTATTGTATTGTACTGTAGCATGCTTATAAAAAGTATTATGCTAGCCGGGGATTTAGCTCAGTGGTGCCGCTGCCTGCCTCGCAACTGCAAGATCCCGAGTTTGATCCCTGGTACCAAAAAAAAAAAAAAAAAGAAAAATATTATGCTTGACTCCCTGAGACAATTACATTGTTACAGAGTGTATTAATAACTTGCCCTAAAACCAAAAAATTAAAGAATTGATCAATTCCTTCTTTTTTTTTTTTTGGTTTGGGCTGTTACCAACATCTCTTGTATGGTCTTTTGTAATAATGTGTGTAAGTGGCAAGTTCCTACAGTATGCCAGGCTCTGTGGTAGGCACTGAGAAAACAGTCATGAATGAAACAAAGTTTCTGATATCCAAGTAGAGGAAGTAAACTATGAGAAACCAAAAAAGAGTATTTTAAATACAGACTAGGAAAAGTCTATGAAGAAAGGCCAGTGGTATGTTTGAGAGTGAGTGAAAGTCTAAATCAGAGTCAGTTGTGGCAGGGTCCAGACCTTTTCTTAAAGGCAAAAATTGTGCTATTTATTTCAAAAGAGAGATTTTAATATAGGACTAAATTAAATAGATGTTGGAGGCCTGGAAAAGCATAGCAGAAAAACTGAGATATCAGGGGTAATAACTAGAGGAAGCAACTGCCACAATTAGGGCAGAGGGATTGGGAGGAAGGGGTTAAGGTGATTGGATCTAGAACCTCAGATCCGACAGTTTGGAGACAGGGCTCAAGATATCTCTGCTCAGCTGCTGATTTTGAGAGTTAAAAAAAAAAAATTGCAGGCTTTTACCATTTGCTGTTACCAGGGTGACACTGACAGAAACAAACCAATGTGAAGGAACAGGAGCCCCTTCTCCCCTCCTACTGCTTTCCAAACTCTGACTAGTCTAATACAACCTATTGTTGAACCTAACAGAAAGCCACCTGGAGAAAGAAATGCAGTTCTAGCCCCAGCACCACAATGCAGAGTCTGCAATGGTGGATTTGGAGCTGAGAGATTATTAATCAAGTGATTGAGAAAGAGCTCTCCAAACAGGTCACATCTGAGGTGGGTTCTGAAAAATAACAATAAGTCCCACATGTGAAGAGTTGGGAAATGATTTCAGCCAGAGGAAAGGATTCAAGGAATGCAATATCAGCAGAGACAGAAGTATGAGAGAGGTGGTTAGTAGGCCAGAACATAGTTGGAGGTAGAAGGGAGTCCAGCTGTGTTCACCAAAAGATGGGCTTTTCATGACATATGTCATGGTCTAAGAGCACCAAGAAACAACTGAAGTTCTAAGAAAGAGACCAGTTATGTAAACACCAAGTTAAAGGCCCTGTGCTGAACAAAGGTTCCTGCAAACAGGCAACTTCTGCTCTCTGCCTCCTACACTGTTCCTCTGTCTATATTTTGTTTCCTGGTTAATGGCATCATCATTCATCCAGTTTCTCAAGCCAGAAATTTCTGAGTCATCTTTCTGACTCCCCACATACAGTTAGTCACCAAATTCTGACTCTACTAATAGTTCTAAATTAATCCTCCTTCCCATTCTTACTGCCATTACCTTGGTCCTCTGTGTCTCCAGAACTGTTCTCCCCAAATCTATTCTTTACACTGTAACCAGTATGATCAATCCACAACATAAATCAACTTACATAAAACTACTAGAACACCTCTGCAGCAGATGAGGTAAAGTGCCCAGTTATATTTATTATTCAAAGCCTTCCACAATCTAGTTCCTTCCTCCCCAACTTCATTTTCTCTCTCTTCCAGTTTTATATAAGACCAAACCATTTGCAGTTACTCCCTCAAACCCTGTTATATGATGGCCCTGTGCCTTTGTTTAAGCTGAATAATCTTTCAAGATTTAGCTTGAAGGCTAGGAATGTAGCTCAGTGGTAGAGCTTGGCCAGGTGACACCACCAAAAAAAAAAAAAGTTCAGCTTAAGCATTAACTTCTGCTGCGAGCCTTCCTTAAATCCCCAAACTGGACAAAATGCCCTCCCACCAGGGCTCTCAGAGTTCAATGGGCACCCCTCTATCTTACAACTGAATCTCATTAAAATAATTTGCTTACATGTTTTGTTTCCTCCCCCACTTAATGTAAGGTCTCTGAGGACAGAGACTGTTCGTTCATCTTTATAGCCCAGTATGGATAATAGATACTCATTACTGAACTGACCAACAGAACTGACCTTGCATAGCACTCATCAGGGAGCCAGAGATGGAACACGGAGGAAACCTTCATATCCCAAGCTTGGAACAGGCAGTTGAAAGGATCCCACCTAGGCATGAATAAGCAGGCCCATCTCAGAAGCAGCAATGACAGAGGGTGGCTTGGTCATGGGCCTCACTTTGATAAGTTCTTCAAGTGCACTTACAGCAATATCTCCAAATGAAGTCATAAATATGTTTTTATGTTTTGCACATGTTAAAGAGCATTAATATTTTGGAGCTATATATTTAAAATACACCATAATTTTTATTTCCCTCTTTTGGTATTTCTGTACTTTTTAATATATCAATATGAAGCAATACTGGAGGAATTAATCAATCTTCTCCAGAAATAATATCATCAAGGCTGAAGAAAAGAAACCAGATTTATGCAAAAATGTTTCCCGTCCCTGGGGCAGGAAGAACAGGATTTGGCAATTGGTGATTATGCAATAAATATGCTGAATGAAGAAATGGATGACTAGAAACCTAGCCAACATCCTCTAGGTATGGCTGGGGGGAGCATTTGTCCATCTGAAAGATGGTGCTCAGCATAAAATATGGGAAGCAGAGTGTCTAAGGCAAAATTACCCAGGGCACCCTCAGGCCTACACAGGGAGAGGCTGCCTTTGTCTGCAGACTGAGCTAGTTGATAGCTCAACACATACAGCAGAGCTTGCGCCATCAAATATTGGAGCTATCCCTCAGGCCCTAGACTCTGCTTCTGGGAAAGTGTCCTGATACATATCCTGTGGGAGTGCCTGCCATCAGCTCCTAACATCCATACCTCATCCCAAATGGCAGTTACAGTTGCAGGAAAATTGTCACTTGGATAATTCATGTTGGTTCTGAGAAACTGAAATACTGTCTGGGCTCTGCCAAAATCAAGCACTCAAATGTAGAATACAGTGACCCAAATGAAGTGACTTCACCAAGGTAATGCCCCCTCTCAGGGTTAAGTGGTCAGCTAGTATCTCCTCGTGTGATTTTGTCTTCACAAGCAGGCAGTGAGGTTGCTAGCCAGGTGAGCATCTGCATCATTTGACTAAAACATAAAAACAAAGGATGAGGAGAGAGGGGAAATCTAAACACACAGAAAGTCAAGGACAAATAACCTAATCACATATTATCAAGAGAAAGGATACTTTCAGAAAAAGAAAGTCATGTGTTAAAAAATAAGAACCAAGATGCATTATGTAAAGGTACAGTTCCCAATGAGAAATGTAATTGTGTTGTATACCTACAATGTACCAATAAAAGAATTTAATAAAAAAAAAAGTCATGTGTTTATTTGTATTCATTCATTCATCCAACCAACAGTTCCTGAGTGCCCATTTAGCATGTGTCCAGAATACAGTAGATGCTGGAGATCCAAAGATGAAAGAGTCAAGCTATATATCAGAACCCTCAATTCTTCCTGTAAGCAGAGTTGCCCTCAGAGGATGCTGTTCTTTTGAAGCTTTTCTTCAGAGATGTCTCTGAAAATTAGTATATAGGGAGAGTGCATGATACATTATCCACTGAATGATAAATGATGTACAGTATTTTCAACCTTCACGGCATGATATCTTTTCCATGGTCATATTATTTCTAGGTTGAAAATTCTCCCCAAGGAGACCCTAAAATCTTCCAGGCCACCAGAACCACCTATAATCGGTCTGAGCTCCAGGAATGCTGCCCGCAATCATCTCAGCAGTGGAATCCTCCGGACTGCTCCTGCTCTGTGCTCTCTTACTTCAGAGCCTACTTGTGTCAACACATTATGATGCAGGAGCAACAGAACAATGCCCAGAACAGCTTGACCTGCACTTCTTTTACCACTTGGTTAGTTGCCTGCCCAGGACACATAAAAACCTTTGCTAAGGACATGTGAGAAGAGTAGAAACGTGCTCTTTAGAGATTATTGTCCTGGTAGATACCCAGGAGATTTCCAGAGACCTATTTCAGCCTCACTTCTGTGTAAGTGTCTGCCTGGTTACTGGTTACTGCAACCTGAGTGTGAACCTGAGGGAGAAGGGACTGGACAGTTCCATTAATACTGATGCTTAAGGGAAGAATGTCTACTTTCCATTTTCTTCTTTTCCTTGTAGTTTCATTTCATGTACCTCAACAGGAACAATCAGGAAAGTCAGGGACTTTTTATAATCTGGTGGCAGAATTTCTTTTTCTTAGACATAATCTCATTGATGATTTGAGCTTTAAATAAAAGCATGCTTTCTGGATTACTTTGAAATTTTATTTTTCAAACAATTTTCTTCCATTAGTAACTGAGAATTTAATAAATGTACTGGAAGTCCATCTTTTTTTTAACACTGGGATTTGAACCCAGGGCCTTTGTACTAATTTACGTCCCCAGCCCCTTTTTAATTTTTTATTTTAAGACAAGTTCTCGCTAAATTGCCTAGGCTGGGCTGGAATTTATAGTCCCCCTACCTCGGCCTGCCAAAGTGCTAGGATTATAGGCATATGCTATCACACCTGGCTTTTGATGACCACTGTTGTGCCAAGCGAGCCTATAAATCACCAAACACTGGGACCAACGACAAAGTTAAACTGAAAGGAGTTTATTCACGCGCGTGGACTCCACTCCCTAAGCAAAGTGAAGCCCTGAGTCCAGGAACAGCACAGTTTATATAGGGTGTTATAGCAGCATAGCTTTTATAGTTGTTATTTTAAGAAGAGAAGTTCAAGGATAGGTTAATTCACAACTCAGCTATCTTGCTGTCTTGTCAGATTAGGGCAGTTTACAGTAAAGGGAGGCTCCAGGCACTATCTCTTTCCAAGAAGCGATGAAGCAAGTTTACAGAAGCAGAACAAGCAGTTTCAAAAACATCTATTTTATAAGGGGAGGGGAATGAGGGGAGTTTATCTACAGGCCAAGATGGTGTTTCTTAGGTTTATCCTGGTCTCACAACCACCATATTTAATTACCCAGATGAGAGAAAAGATCCAGAACACAGGGCCTGCTGGTCGAAGCTGGAAGGTTGGGAGTGGGGGTGCCATTGTGAAGAGAAAGGACACCACAACAATCAAACCTCAAAGATGCAACCAGAATTGCAACCTAAAATCATGATGGACCTATCCTAAAATGTATTTATTAGTGTGTTAAGAATCTTGGAAAAAATCCTCTATGTAAAATGTTATGCTTCAAAGTGCTATGAAATGGGGTCTCGGATTTAGCTCAGTGGTTTCGCCACGTGCTGCACAAGCGCAAGGACCTGAGTTCAACCCCTGGTACCAAAAAAAAAGCTATGAGAATTAACCTCAAGCACCAAGAATTATAGAAAACAGCTTTAAATGAGTGACAGACTTTATCACTTAAGAGCTATCATGTAATTACAGACAAGAAACAGTACAATAAAAAGAAAAGACCACACAAGAATCTAGGTGGTGGGTGGATGAATATTCACTATAGAATTCTTTCAATTTCGCCATAGGTTTGAAAAGACCCCATGGGAACTCTAAGTAGCAGACATTTACAGAGAACATTTTAGGGGTATAAACATCCCTCTGAATCAGGCAGTCAGAAAACCCAATCAAAATACTTGTATGCTAGCTCCTCAGGTTACCACTCCCTCCTCAAGTTGTCATGTTTCTGAAAAATTCCAGACAATTGCATTTATTCCTGGGAAAATAAAGACAACTTACCAGAAATATAGCAGGAACATACCCCACATCCATACTGTTCTCAGCCCTAATAATGTGCTTTGGTCATCCTTGAAATAGTAAACACACCTGGGGAAGTCCTAGGAACAGTATGGAGAGTTGAGAGGAAGGGTATATTAGCTCCACTCCTGACAATTAATATAGTCTCTTGCTTCTCTGTCCTTGATTTCCCAGTTGTATGCCTAGCAATGATTTCTGGTCTGTAAGTAGATTTAATATAGAATCTCTCTACCTTTTCTTTTAGTAAAAGTAACCAACAAGTTTTTCAGATGAAAATTACACTGTAATTCTGCAGAAAAGTACAGCCACACATAACTGCCTGTTAAATTAATGTTCATTCAATTGGAACTGAAAAAAAAACAGAGAAAAATGATTGAGGGGGAGGAAAAGCACTAAATTAAAGGAAATAGCAGCTAGGCCTGGTGGTACACACTTGTAATCCCAGGACTCTGGGGGACTGAGGTAGGAGGATGGTAAATTCAAGCCCCTCCTGGGCAATTTAGCCACTTAGCGAGACCCTATCTCAAAAAAAAGACCAGAGAATACAGCTCGGTGCAAAGGCCTTGGGTTCAATCCTGGTTACCAACAACAACAAAGCAAAGATTGCAAAGCATCTACTAGTGGTAGAGGAGGTTAGGGTTCATCTCCAATAGGATTAAACTTCTTCACGCTGTCCTTGCCCTGTAGCACAGTTAAAGCCTTTATCCACACTGTATGCTCTGCATCTTGCTTACTTGATTTAATGTATAGGGCAATGGATGGGTCTAGCAAAAGACATAAATATGTATTGGAAAAATCTAAACTATGTTTGAATAATTTGGGAGGGGGGTGCCAGGGATCAAACTTGGGACCTTTTGCTTGCAAGGCAGGTGACGGAACCACTGAGCTAAATCCCTGGCCCTCTAAACTATGTTTGGGAAAATTGGTATACAACCCTGGAACAACAAATTATAACAAAAGATTCTGTGAATCCATGAAATGAAGCCAGTTCTTTGTCCCCACAATGACCTATAGAAACCCTGCTGTGCTTTTCTGCTTTAGTTCACACATTCATTCAACATGTATGTGTTATAATTCAATTAAATATACATAAATCGGCCCTTAATATAGTCTCTTTTAATACTAAAATTTACTTTTTATTTACAAATTTTATATTGTAGAGCTCTAGTGCATATATATTAACAAAGCATGATAGTATGAGCTTTCATAAAGAATTTTTATAGATAAGATTTTTACTGTTTAAAATATATTAAATCTATAAATGTTCAATTTATTAGTATAAGTATCACTGTAAGTTTCACTGGCAACATCACTCTGCTCTAACTGCTCATCATGAAAGGCTGGGGTGGCATCATTCCCTCTGACATGCAGTGACCACAAGGTGATACAAGGTAGACAGACAGACATGCACTGTTCATATTTTTTATTTTTCCTTATTAAAAGGGTATCCATAGATAATGATGAAAACGTTCTAAATTAGATGATACTGATAGTTGCAAAGCCATTGAAATTTGTACTAAGTGAGTGAACTGGATGGTATGTAAATTATTTTTCAATACAGCTATTTTTAAAGCTAAGCCAGTCGTAGTGATGCACACCTGTAGTCCCAGCACTCAGGAGGCTGAAAATGGAGATCATTGACCTCAGGAGTTTGATACCAGCCTGGGCAGAAATCCCATCTCAAAAAAAGAAAAAAATCAATTTAAAGATAAAAGTATCAGCCAGGCATGGTGTCACACACCTATAATCCCAGCACTCAGAGGCTGAGGCAGAAGGATTGCCATGAGTTTGAGGCCAGCCTGGGCTACATAGTGAGTTCAAGACCAGCCTGGACTACACCACGAGAACTTGTCATGATAGATAGATAGATAGATAGATAGACAGACAGACAGATAGATAGATACATAGATTTTTAAAAATAAAACTATCTGCAACATTCCAACCCATACAAAATTTTTTTTTTTTTTTTTTTTTGGTTCTGGGGATTGAACTCAGGACCTTGCACTTGCTGGGCAGGTGCTGTGCCACTAAGCTACATCCCTGCCCCAAAATAAAAATTATTTTGAACCACCAAAATTAACAACAGTAGAAGGGCTACTTACTGGGTAAGAGTGTGAGGGCTGAGCTGACTCCCCCCCCAACTCCAAAAAAAGCAAAGCCAAGCACAAGTAACTTATTAAAATCAGAGCCCTGAATCTATCCACTATTTTTTTTTTTTTTTTT